GGGGCAGAAGGTCAGGGTGGCTTGTTCTCGGAGACTTGCTGCTGGACTGCAGTGGGGTGAGGAGAAGGAGCAGTTGACGGGGGCTGGAGGTAGTTACCAGGGAGGGAGGGTCCCGAGGGCGGTCTGGGGACGGGTTGAGCTCCGGTCCTGGGCTCCAGGTTGGGCTCCTGGGCCAGCTCAGTAGGCGGGAAGGGGGGCTGTGGGCCCGGTACTGAGTGGGTGTGGGTCCTGGACGTGGGTAGTTCACAATTCTGTTCCCCTGCCCACCCCCTGTGCCTCTAAGGATGCTCTTCTCTGCGGCAGGGCTGACATCTGCAGAAGGACCTCCAGGGCCACCTCCGGGGTGGCTGCCCAGCCAGACTCCTCTGCTGCTTGTGTCAGTGGTGTCACCTGGTGGCATCCGCACGCCTGGCTTCCGACACCTACCTCTGCCTCGACCTGACGCCCTAGCAGGGCTGCACTAGGAGCTAAGCGTCTCCAGGGCCAGGATGGTGATGCCCCACCCCCTCACCTCCCCGGTATGAATATCTCTGCCTTCTAGCTGCGTGATCTTGGGCTCAGGCTCCACTTTCGCTAAGTGGGCTTCTAACAACCCCAAGGAGCAGATATTTTCTGTAAGTACTAAACAAGATAGTCTGTGACAAGTTGCTCAGTACTCGACCCTGCTTTCCAATCTTCACACTCCCCTCAGCCTTTGCCGTCCTTACATGAGAAGCAAAGTGAGCCTCTAAGAGGTTAAGTAAGCCACTGGAGGTCCCACCGCCAGGGAGTGGCCCCCGGTATTCCAAGCCACGTCTGTTCAAAGCAGCAGCCTTATATGGGAGGATGGCCCGGGGCATGTCCTGGATGCCCAGTGGAGATGCTGGGCTGATTCAGCTCTGTCCCCTTGGGCCAGTCTTCTCCTGCTTGGGCCTCAGTTTCCCCACATGTTGAATGAATGAACAGTAGAGCATCATCTCCAAGATGGTGGGGCTGACGCTGCTTTCAGGAGCTGTGTGCAGCCACACCTCCAGGCACAGGGCCACAACCCGGCGCTCTCTGCTGGTCCCTTCAGTGCTGCTGGTTCTGGCTCTCGGGGAGCAGGCCATCTGAAGGGACTTGCTGGGTCCTGAGGTTTTGGTTTCACGCAACAGGACCACGCTGGGCTGTGGCCTCCTGAGCTTGTGGAGATGGACTTGGGTCGGGGGCTCTTCCTGACTGTGATGGGCAAGGGGCCTGGTTGAGGGCCAGGGAGCCCTCAGAGCTGCCCCCTTGTCCCATGAACAGTCTCTTCCTAGGGAAGTGAGGCCTCCTCCAAGGCTTCCCCTGAGCCCCACTGCCCCCGTCCCCATCTCTGGTCTTGACGCGGTCCCAAGGTGGCCTGGCTATGAGCTACTCCCTCCCTTACTGATATTCCCCTGACTTTCCTCAGAGACCTTCGCAGCACCCCTCCTCTCTCCCTTGAACCCGTAGCCCTGCAGGGACCACTGAGCTGACCAGGTCAGTGCTGAGGGCTTCTCAGAGGATGATGTCCCCAGACTGAGGAAAGCAGGCCCTATGACCCCCTAACCACCCCCTTGCCCTGTCTAGGTCACTCTCTCCCCAGCATGGTGTAGGGCTGGTGGCTAGATGGAGATGGGTCCTGGGAAGGCCACAACCAAGTGTGCCTGGAACAGTAAGCTGGGTTTCCAGAAGTTTCTATAGTTGGACACAGCCTCTGGACAGGCTCTCCCTGAGCCAGGCAGAGCGATTTAGCAGGTGGCACTGCCTGGGATTTCCCACATGCGGGATCAAAGAAGGGGCTGAGGGGCAGGTGTCCCTCACTAGTATTTGCCCTGCTGGGGAGCTGCCTTAGCTAGGCTCCAGGCCCACGTGGCCCCTGTCGGCTTCAATCCACCGCACTCTGGGGAGCCTTGCCGCTTGCAGAGCTCTCTCACCGTGTTGTCTCAAGTGGCAAAGATGTGATGAGGGTTGCTGTTTCCAGGCTACTGGGGCTGTTTCCAGGCGGGCTGGCTCCTGAGGGGAAGATGAGTGGGTGGTGGAGTGTGTGTTCGGTGGAGTGGGCCCCTGCCTGTCTCCGGAGTGGCCTGTAATAGTTGAGGAGCCAGACAAAGCCACTGTGGGAAGATCTGAGGTGTGTCCCCTACCTCTGAATGTCAGCTGTGTGGAGGGAGGGCATCAGGGCCCCACCCCAGGCCAGCTCGGGGAGCCCCTGTCCCAGAGATGCCAGGCCAGACCACAGGGACTCTTCTGGGGTTAAAGCCCCCAGAAGGCCTTGCTGCTGTCCTAGGACATAGGGATTTGAGTATGGACAGCCCTGCCTGGGGACCACCAAACCCCTTACCCTATCTTTCCACCTGGTGTCCCTCAGCAAGGTTTGCAGGGCCAGAAGTCCCCCGTCCCCAGGTCAGGGCAGGGGAGAGAGATCCCTGCTGAGGCCTCCCCTCTCCCTTCAGTTCTAACTTGGTCCTGCCTCCCAGGGGTTCAAACTGCCTCTAACCTCTTAAACCCCCCAAAGAAAAGGCCCAGGTGAGAGAAAGCATTTTTCTTTACTTAGTTTTGACCTCACCTGGGAGGGCTGGGGACTCGAAAACAGGAAACAACCTGAGATGGGGTTTGTCATCTCACATACACACCTGCGCCCACACGTACCCACGTGCTGACCACATCCGCGGCAAGTGGGCCCGGGCCCGGTACGCGTGGAGACACTTACTGGAATAAAGCAAGATGTGCAAAGACGGTGGGCACCCAGGACACACACCAAACAGAAGGGGATCCCAGGCGTCCGGGAGGGGAGAAAGGCGGCGTGGACTTAGGGTCCCTCTTATCGAACTCCTAAACGACCCTCCATGGCTCTGCGCCCAAGAGGGTGAGGGAGGAGGTAGGGGCCGGCGTGGAGAGGCCTCCTTTCTGCCGGAGCATAGAGTCCGTTCTCAACCAAGACGAAGC